CTCCACAGCATGCCGATTTGGAAATGCCATTACTGACGGGCAGTTTAGTCTGGGTGGGAACAGGATAGCTGCACAGAATGAATTACAGTGAAACAGAACGGAGGCTTAAATAGGCTGAAGATATCTTAAGAATCTTCACTTGATCCCTTAAGTTTGTTTTGTGCAATATGAATCTAATGCAATAAGAAAAAGAAATCATTAATTTACTCATAGTAAGACAATTAAGGTGTTTCTATTAGCTGAACTATGCATCCATTATCTCTTTATATTTCTGTCAAAACCACTTTTCATGCCATCTTTTAAAATGGCCCCAATCAACTGTAGCCCAGAGTTTCTACAGCTTAGTGTGTCAACTTTGGCAAACTTCCTTTATATAGCATTTAAAAATGAGTGAGCAGTGCCGCGGTGCTGCACACTTAGAACCAAACCGCTGATGACAGGTAAGAGGAAGACATGAAATCAATAATTCATTACTTACAAAAAAAATGTATTAGAAATAATTGTGGGATCAAGACTAAATTTAGCAGTGAAGAGTTTTTAAATCACCTTCAAATCTTGTGATTCTGACTAGCTTTTATGTTGATAGGTGGATTGTTCCACAGTTTCAGGGCTAAAACACAGGAGGCAGCATCATCTCTACTTCTTTGATTGGTTGTTCGACCTTGGGTGTTCATATGAATGTACAGCATTTTATAAGCCATTTGTAAATGGATTGGTCTAGACTGACATAAAAAGAATTGCAATCATTAAGGCAACCTTATTTAAAAACATGGATCGATCTTTCAAAATTCTCTTAAAGGATATAAGGCTTTACTTTAGTCACAAATTGTAGTAATAAATAAACAGGATGCTTCGATAGCTGACCTGGTTTGCTTTTTCAGTTTAAAGGAGCTGTCAAAGAATGTGCCAAGACTCCTGAGTGCGGACATGACAGAAAAGGATCAAGAACAATATTAGAACGTCCAATCAACTAGATACCTTCATCTCTGATATACTGTAGTTGAGTTGGAGTAAGTTTGAGTTTATAGAAACCTTCCTATTGGCTAGACCATCCAATAATGGCTCTTTGGAGTTTTTTATGGGCAGATATATTTGAATGCAATCAAGAAAAAAATAAAATATAGTACAGTGCACATGTTTTAGGTAGATGTGAAAAAATGCTTTCAAAAATAGATGTGTTAATCATTTATTTTCATCAGTCAAAAAAATCTAAATCAAAACATCAGTTCTACATACATCTGCTCATAGTTTTTGAAGGAATGTTTGTAGTTCTAAACATCTTGACACACTTAGTTATGTTGAGATGTGGGGCCACAGCATCAATTCTAGTACTTCTTTTTTTACACTAAAGATAGCTCTTAATGCGTTTGCCTGTCTGTTTGGGCTCGTTGGCCACTCATTAGGTAGTATTACCATCATGTACCTGATGGTATTGCATGATGGGTGAGAATCTACCAATATTTTTCAACACTGAGAAAACTATTAATCCTGAACAAATCTTAAACTCCAGTTGCTGAAAACCAGTCCCTGATGTTCAAGGAACCTCCTCCATGCTTCACTGTTGCCTGCAGACACACACTATTTTGTACGGCTCTCAAAACTTTCAGCGAACAAACTGCCTTCTGCTCCAGCCAAACATTTCAAATTTTGACAAATCAGCCCAAAGCACCTGCATTTTTTTCTTTATCCCAGTTCCTATGTTTTTGTCCATGCTTGTTTTTCTTGCCCTTGCTTCCAAGTCAGGGGTACATAATTTTAGTTGCAACTCTTCCATGAAGCCCATTTCTAGTCAGAAATGGTAACAGATGAGTCAACATAGATCCCACTGGTGTCTGCCAGTTCTGTACTGGTGAAACCGCTAGATGACTTGGGATTCTGAAGAGCAATAAGCTTGACGTGTCTTCAATCTGCTGCACTAAGTTCTCTTGGCCGTTAGCTGTGTCTATGATCCTCAGTGTTGTCAGTTTCTTCAGCAGTCCATCCTAAAACCCCAATCTGCTTTGAAAACTTTGTCTGCACCGGACCTCATTGACAGAATATAACCAACTTATGTTTTGTTGTTGTGCTCAATTTTCCAATGACCTCAAACTGCTTTTCATAGCATGAGTCTGGCTGTTCCGCACCTAATTTAAAGCCTCCAATAAAGCAGTTTTTCTTTCCCTTCATGGCTGTGTTTAAACCTACATGTGACACTGATGATCATTAGCACCTACTTGGTATAATAGGTTGACCATACACCTGACTGTAATTCTACAAAATCCTAAATTTTGGGAAAGCGTACCTAAAAGAACTGATGCTGGTTTGAAGGCAAAATGTAGTAAGACCAAATATTGACTTGATTTTTTCTTTTTTCTCACTTTGTATTTTTAAAATAATAAAAATAAACAATCATCATTTATATTTCTGCAATCATTCTTTTATTTATAAGGCTTATGAATATTAGCCTACAACTTTTGTACTGGACTCAATATTTCATAAAAATAGACACTAGGGGGAATATATAGAAGAAGAAAAAAGCAGGCCCTAGGATAGATCCTTGAGGAACTCCATGAGTAAAAGGCTCTGCAGCTGAGGAATATGCATCTATCTGGTTGAGAAACTTGTAATGCTACATTAGTATTTTTTTTAACTTAACTGAATCTGCTTCTCCTCTGACCATGGTGTCAGACTGTAGAGTGTTTGGTAATAAATTATGGAAAGTGGAGAAATGGACAAAATAAGTCTTTGCTTAAGAAAGAAACCTTTAAGAACAGAAAAGGTCTCTAAGAAATTTTCCTTATTAATGCCTTTTACATTAATCTATACTATACATTTCTGTATACATTTCTGTATACATAACTATACATTTCTGTATAGTCTTTATATATTTTTCACATTTATTTATTTTATAGCCATTTACAATCACTCTCTATTTATATATACCATTTATAGTCCGTCCATACATACATAGTCTCTGTACACCTGTAGATAAATATTTATATCCTGTATAGCTCCTCTGGATAAATGCAAACTACATCTGGTTTCTTTGTACTTGTAACGGCATAATGTAAAGTTAAATTCTTCTATTCTATTTCAATTTAAAATTACCTTTTTTGAATAAAACCAGGCTTTCTGTACGTAAAAATATATTTTTTTTCTTTTTCTCAAGCACCACTAAAGACAAAGAAACCAAACCATGTGTTTGTGTTAGTCAAAAATAAAGCATGCTCGAAAAAAGATCAGGTACTGAAGTAAAGTTGGATGAAACCAGATAAATGAGGCTGAAGAGCTAATGATCAAGGAAAAAAAAAAACAGAGTCCGACTCCTGCAAAGCAAAATATAATGAAAATGGAAAAGCAAATATAATCTTTTGTAAAGCAGTGTAGTAAAACCTACGCAAGTGAAGAGGTTTGCATTTACTGCCATGTTTACTTTAACAGAATGTGTCCTTGTTCCAAGGTGATATTTATCCATTGGCCTTCCACACATTTGCTTGTGTGATGCACCTCAGCCGTTTCTTGACTGATGACTCTGTTATATCAGCATCAGTCCCAGGGCAACAAGCATCTTTAAACATGTAGCCTGAACTTCTTTGTCTTTATCAAACCGGTTCAGCATAAACTGTCTTTGGATTGAGAGAAGGACAATGCAGCTTACACTGTTGGCACAGCCGCAGTTAATTCAATATTTATTTATGCATTGTGATGTGTCATGGTGATCCTGTATTGCCAGCTGAAATGTTGAAGCACAGCATACAGATTAGCTGCACAAATTCACAGTTTGTAGGATAAAATGCACCTGAATTTTCCTACTGTAGAGGAGGAAATAATTACTCTAAAATCACTGGAACCATCAGCTGTAAGAAAAAATATTTACATCACCTAGACCTTCAGATTTTGTTGAATTATAACCATACAGTTTATAAATGTTTTAATAGTTTAAATAACATACCACAAAAAAGTAGTGCATGATGCTTGGTTTTCATTTGTTTTGTTCCAATTTGTTTCTTTTCAGATTTTTATTGTAGTTTATAAGTTTTTCTTATTCTTTTCATTTTTATTTAATTGTTCAACCTACATGTGTTCAACCTACAAAAGAATCTCACAGCTTAAAAAGTTTGTTTACTGAAGTATCTTAATTGAAAGTCAAACTTTCTTTTTCATAAATTCTTATCACTGGAGGAAGTTGTGTTTGTCTTGTAAGTGTTTATTTGTTTCTGGATATTATTTCCCACTGTGCCGCCATGAGGTGGACATCAGCTCCAGTCTCAAGTCTTTAGATTTCTATGAGTCTCCTTAATAACTGACATGTTTTAACAACTATCCACTGTCCTATCAGGCTATGGGCTTCCCTGTGCCTTCTGCATAGGCAGGGGAGGTGATATATCTTTAGGGTCATATGGAGTATCTAAGATTTAGGCCAAAAAGTAAAATATTGGTCTCAATGAACCAGAGCTGCTTCTGACAGTCATTTCCTGTATTCCTGTCGTTGTTTGTGTAAAACTTCAAACACATCTTAGAGCTGGTGAAGATAAATCAGTCATCCAGGTCATAGTCATTCCAAGAAAGTTAAGAAACAACAATTAAACCATATTGTTTTCCAAGTTGAAGTTTTGCTCCCCATCCAAGAAGTTTTTTCAATTCAAATTGTCTGCAGTAGCGTTGAGTTCTAGGCTTTATAGGAGTAGCAGCAATAGAGTTGATTCATTCCTGCTATCATAATCCTCATGGCCATGCAGGGGACCAACACATCTCGCCTGGTCAGCCAGGCCAACAGTGCCACTAACGACTCCCCTCTTTCAGAGGAATAGACCAGTATCTGGTATTGCAGGCTAACAAAGACCTCAACAGCTCCCCATTACGGTTAATATGGTCGGACCTGTCCTTCCAGTTTAATTTGAATGTTTTCTAAGCTGAATCAAGGCTTTAATTGGCTACTCTATAAAGCTTAGAACTCTGCACTACTTCAGACATTTTGAAATGAGAAAGCTTTCTGGATGGGAAACAAATCATCTTCAAACTTGGAAAACAAAGTCCAGTGGTTTGTTTTGAACTTTTAATGGAAATGTTATAGCCTTTTCACTCCGTCACTCCTAATGTGCTCTGTTCTTCTCTAGCAAACCACTGAGTCATTTACACTATATAGACCGAGGTTTAACTACAAGCTTTTTTCTTACTACTTAGGAGACTTCATGATTTTACTTAAACACATAACAGTAAAATTAGCTAAATTCAAAAAAGGATGCACTGTTTTGGAAAAGCATGGATTATTTAGAGTTTGACCTATAAGTAAAATGAAACAATACTTAAGTAAGGCACTGTGGATCCTCTGCCAGCTGTTGCCCTCTGGTTTCACTCTTCAAGCTCCTTATTTAAAATCCAACATGAAACTCAGCATGCAATGCAGGAAAACCCACCAGCAGGTGGCACTAACATCTAGCCGCCTGCTGTGCTGGCAGAGCTGTTGCTGGATATTGTGTCAGAGACTAAATCCATGCCTTTTAAAGGATTAGGCTACCCTCCCTCTTTTCAGCAAAAATCTCATTATAACTCACATTCCACCGGCTGGGAAGACACAACTTCTGATTTGAAACAACACTCAAAGTGAGGGGGAGGTATGGCGAGTCAAAACAATATCTGTTGGAGTAAAATACAAACCAGCAGCACCCATATTCTGAGTAAGTCCCATTTGTGCATGTGTGTAATGCCTCTTGACTCCAAGCTCCTCTGGGCATTGTTGCTTCATTAATGAATGCAAATAGAAAGGCTTACTTCAGTGGTGGAGTATGAATAATGGAGGCGCTCCAGTGATGTTATGCAGCATGCAATGGGATTAACCCCGTTTGTGGGAGGGATGGGTGTTAAGTGAGGTGGGTTAAAGCGAAGCACCTTGACGTGGATCTTGATTGGAAGCGGGATGCCCTCCTTCAGCTCTTTGGTTTTCTCATTGAAGTCCTTGCAGAACTGCCCGATGGGGATACCTTTCTGAATTTGGAAAAAGAAAAAAAGGAGATAAGCATGAAAAAAACGATGAGGGGCTGAGTTTAAAATGCATGAGCTCACGGATCAGTCAGCTGAATATCACCAGCGTCACAGTATGCTGTCAGAATACAGATGCTGGGGCTGCTGTCACTCAATCCGTCACCAAGCTTCAAACGCCTGACTATATCCACGCCCATGTCAACGGTCCAGGAGCCAACCCCCCTCCTTGTGTGGGTGCGCAGTTCTTTTTCCTGACTGTCAGCGGAGCTATGACTGAATACATGTTGGAGCCCGCAGCCAAAGAAAGCTGGTGATGAACGATCTCCCATTTTCCTGGCTCCTGCAAGGCCAACCGGAGCGAAAGCAAAATGGATGGGTGGCATAAAGTCAAAACCCGGCCAACACCGCATTTCTCTTCAGAGCTGAAATCAGGTGCAAAGACTAATACAGAATCATATTAATACAGCCAAAATTCAAGCTGACCTTCACCCGCCATCCTTCCCAAAGGCAACACCCTGATTGAAGTTTTCATTTTAGACATGAGGGGTAGAAGGAAAAAAAAACTTTTCTTATACTGAGTTTAATGGAGTTGTGAGCCTCTACTCCTCCACAACAGAGCTGAGCCCACTCTAATAATCACCGTGATGAAAAGTCAGTCATCCTGAGACATTCGTCAATGACAGGCCGGGGAAAGACATTTATAAGAAGCTAACGGAGCGGCAAGTTCTCCAAACATCATCTCAACCAAAGGTTTCAGCAATCACCTGACGAATGCAAATCAGTTTCTTCATCTCTGTCGCTTCATTAGCGTCGAAAACGCTTCGCATTTCCCGCACTCTTCTTTTCGCAAACACAACAACAAAGCGATGACGAGCGATGTGTTAAAATAACAAGCAGGTTGGGCTTTTTTTAGCAGAAGGGCGCTATCTAAATTACAAGATCATACAGGAGAAATGAAAAACAGCCCCCCCCATCCCCAGGGGCTTCACAAGGCTTTACCTTCCCTCCCCTTCCTACTAATTAATAGTAATCCCATGTGACAACCTTCTACCCGTTGCCCTCCCTCACTCCGCCTCTCATAAAAACAACACAGGAAAGGTAAACAAGGAGGGATGGAGCGGTACAGGAAAGTCTAATTAAATATGGATTAATATAAAGGCTGTGATGTTGGGAATGAGTCAAAGCAAACCCTCAAGCTCTGCCTTGCACATTCAGCTCCCGCTCTTTTCCCTCTGTTCAGTCCCTGTCGGATAATGATCTCTCCAACTGACTCAGACAGGCTTTCATACAACACAGAGGGCCTCTCCGACCGCCAGGAGATAATGCTAATGACTGTGTTAAAGGTAGAGGCTTCTACCTGTTAAGAGGGTCCATCAAAGCCAGAACATATAAAGAAAGAAATAAGTCGTACAAAGAGAACCACTGATAGAACCCAACAGAAAGAGATGATTGTAATGCAATAAGATAATTTACAAAAGTAAAGAAGCATCCGTCCGTTTCCATGTACTTCTGCATTTAAAATGTGTATCTGCTACTTCAGTTGACTGAGTTGTGTTGAAGCAAAGCCGCATTTACAGGCTGCAGTACACCGGGGCTTGAGGACTGAAGTTTGTCGCCTATACTTTACGGTGGGAATACATGAAATGGAGAGAAATATGATGCTATCTGCTTATTTTGTTAATAGAAGGTGGCTTTGTCAGGTCAGAGCTCCTAATTCTGAGACAAATTAAACATTAAGTCACAAAGTGAAGTCTTGAGACTCATAAGATCTTCCTGAAAAAGGTAAGTTTCTTAAAATGTGTGCTTTGTGTTCAGTGCAGGAGCCCCTTTATAACAACAGTGGCTGTATTTGGTGGTGAAAATGTCTTCAATGTATTTTGGTTAAGCTTATCTGTTCTGTATTGGCTAACTGAAGCTTAACCCCCTTTGTTATTAACAGTAACCAATGGCCAGCAACTCTTAGATGATCTCTTAAGCATGCCACCTGTTAATATGGTTGAAACTTGGTAGTCTTTATTGTCTGCCATTAAGAAAACCCAAAGCAACTAAACAGGGTTTGGTGTAAAAAAGGACAGCTCTGAAAAACTGTCATGATAGAGGTGACCGGCAACATCACACAAACAAATCTATTTGAGGGATTCTTAATTCATAGGGTTGAAATGTGGGACCATCACAGCAAAAAATAGGGTTCTATTTATTTAAAGGTACAGAGGAGGATGTTCTTTTTCCTCGTGGATCATCAAAATAAGTGGTCCTCCTAATTTCAAACATTCTGGTGATATGTTTATGCAAAATGTGTGCGTCCCATTTTTAAATTACTGGTGGTGAGTCTGACATATTGGAAAAAAAACACAAATCTTCTTTTGGAAAGTAAGCTTATATGAGAGATTCAAACAGAAACTTTTAAGCAGAGTGTGCATAAGGAGAAATGGGCTTGTACGTGCTCTCGCACACATTTAATAGGCGTTCCCCTCTCTGGAGTGGGTATAAGGTTGTGCATGTGCTTTTTTTTTAAGTGGAGAGGGAGGGTCTTTTCAAAAATTGGTGAAAATCCTCCACTATACCTTTAACTGCACATAAAATGTGTTGCTGGAAAAGACACAAGCATCACATTTTCACAATGCTGTGAGGCGAGTACTGTTCTCCTAACCAGGACTCTTCTACTTTACTGGATTCTCCCCTTCAGAGGACATGTCTCCTAAGCTATAGATCCAGGAAGAAGCATGCTTTACAACAATTCATCCAATACTTTACATGGCACTTGGTGATATAAGACTTTGATGCAGCCTCTTTGCCATGGGAATATGAAGCTCTCTCTGTTCCTGAGCTTATCTGAAGGCTACATGAAGTCTGGTGGTCTATAGCTATTGACTCTGCAGAAAGCTGCCAGCCACTGTGCACCCTGCACATCATTATCCGCTGACCCCACTGTGCGACTTTAAAAAGCAAACCACTTTGTGATAGAGTTTCTGTAGCTCCCGCTTTATTATGAACACCAATAACAGTCGACTGGTGTACATTTATTGCTGTTGAAATTTAACAGCTGGGCTTCCAGCACGGATGGTATAGGATCACGGTACAATGTAGAAATAATCTGAGCTCTTGAGAACAGCCCGCTCACTCACAGATGTATGCAGTATGCACATAGGCAGCCATGGGATTTAAAACGGCTAAATTCAATTATTTGAATGGTTGTTTATATTTTGGTAATATACATAAATGTCAATATCACCTCCTGTCACCTTCTGTGTGACAGAAAGAATATGGTAAACAAAATATTGAGATGATATATTAAAAATAAGTGAAATGGAGCCGTTTTACCACCAAAAGTTGATAAACATCCAGCCAGGACGTCGCTGTAAGGCAAAGATCAGGCTCTGCCAGTAGCTCTTAAATATCTAAAGGCTAAGATTCATATTGGCCCTGGACAGTTAAATAATTCACCTGGAGTAATCACTCTGAATGAAACACGTATGTAAGTGCAGCCTTTAAACCGTGGGGGAGTTTGGCATGTCATGAAAGCCTCGCTGATGGTTGGCTCCTCCAACTCCACATGACATTTATGAGCAAGAGAGCTGGAACAGCATCACCAGTGTGCTGGCCAAATGGCTAACCCTGCACGTCGCATCTGAGCATCTAATCATCCACAAGCCAAAGCCGCCGGATAAATCCTTGTTTCTCGACTGTGTCTGATTAGGAGCTCTCCAAAATAAAATGGCTACAGCCCTTAAACCGAGGCCGAGGCCTTCCACGCCACTGCCCGTGGACAAGGACATCTTCAAAGCCTTTTGAGATCAAGGGCGGAGGGATTAGACACTAATATAAGACTTTATTTCCTCGATGTCGGTAATTGCAATGGGATCAATTTGAAATCAGCGCAGCAGGATGAGTTTTATTCATTATAATTACGGAAGCAATTAGACATTTGCAATCAAAATCTAAGGAGTTTCTATCCGATTTGACCCTTCCACCATGTTCGCTGCTGTCCTCTTTGACACTCCGTCCCTGTTAATGTGATTGGCCTTTCAGCTTCACTAACTCTTTTTAACAAGATGTAGCACTGGTGTGGCAGGATGGAGTGAGCCTGTGAAAGGGAGAAAAGTGGAGATGGAAATGGGAAAAAGAGACAGCTGAGGTATATTAAAGCTGTCAGAGTGTGGCAAGAGATTGTGGTCAATATTTAAACAATGGGGGGAGGGGGGTGTTTGACTGAGACGGAGAATAGTGGTGGGGGGGCAGGCGTAGAAAAAGGACGCTGGAGGTCCTCATGAATATGGGTGAGCGTACTTCGATGTTTATGTATGAACGCTTTGTCCTTGTTTTAATCTGATGAGAGACTTTAAAGAGTAGATATAAGCCGCAGACGGTGGGGAAGGGCTTACAGGGTTTCTCTTGTTTTTTTGTCTCAACTAAATTATCAAATCATTAAATAAATTGTACTATCTGACAACTATAACCTGCATTGATAAAAACATCCAAATTTCAAATGCTGTTTTTATTATAAAGGGTTCAAAATCTATCCAAATAATAAGGGAGGTTTGATATTCTACCTTGGAAGTATTGCCAATCCTCCTTGTTTTTTCAATTTGAGGTTTATAACTCTCGATCCTCAGATTTCCAAAGCCTTAGAAATAGATTTTTTTGCCTTTCCAGACTGAAATATGTCCAAGGCTTTTGTTCTTAAACATGTCCTTCTTTAGATTAGCGGCACGTTGTTGCTTTAGGGATATTTAAACCTTCTTCATGTTGTAAGGCAGTAGTCAAGGCCGGGTACAAGCACAAAGGAAGTAAACAGTTTTATAAAAAAGTTTAATATGATTAAAAGGTGGTTGCATATTTGGATATTTTTTCCCTCATATAAATAAAATCAGCATTTTCAAGCTTATTTGCATTTGATCAAGTAAGGGATTTCCTTTTGCAGATGTTTCCATTCCAGTCATAAGAAGGAAGAGAAGGATGAGAAGGATCAACAGGCATATAAACTATAAAGATAAAGAGTGGTG